TTACATGTTGGTGTCTGTAATGCTTGACATAGACTGGCAAAATTGGCGACATTCCGATCACTTAGGCTAAGTGTGGTGATTCTACTCCATTCAGATTCGTCCTCTGCATTAAGTGCACCAAAAACATTTAATGCAAAAGACACAGTAATGCAGTCCACATTGGCCCTCCCGAAGCCAGAAAGATCAAAATGTCCAACACGTGGGCAGAATAGGTGGCGAAATTTCTTTACTATTTCCTTGGCAACCTCGATGTCTTCGTATTGCAGGAGACATTTGGAAATTAAAAGCCCCTTTGTAATTGTATTTGTGAATGAGTCGCTGATAATTTTTTTGATAATCAACTTTTTCACAAATGTGTTGTTTTTTTCCTTGGACAAAATACCGGACATAAATAGAACTACTTGTGTAGACACATTTTCGGGGGGGATTTCTTTTGTCTTTACGAACCAACGAGCCGCTAAGTACTCTTGGAGAGTCAAATGCGTAAAACAAAAATGTTTAGTCGTCGCAGAAAAAGATGTTCTGAAAGGAGGACCGCAATGAAGAAGACCGCTTCCACACAGACTTTCAAGCTCGTGTAAGTTCAAAGTTTTCAAATCCTCTTTAAGGAAAAGAAACTTTTTCTCCAGAAGAAGTTGAGCTGCCAGCTTTGATAATTCATCCAGAGTCTCTTCGACAGAGGCTCTTTTCTTTCTATCGTGCTTTTGCACGAACATGTTGACCACTTCATCATAAAGGTCACTTGCTTTCACCGGGAGAGGATTATTCTTCTTTGGTTGCTGTAGAGTATATTCAAAGTAGGAGCACATAAGAAAACAGAGCACAGGAATGTGGGCAAAGCTGACAAGATTGACATTCTTTGTAATGTGGTCCATTATCATGTTTTTCATTCGGTCGTTGTTTTTGAAATACTTTCCAATGTATTCTTTTACCTGCGGCTCGGAAAATCCTGTAATTTCAACGTATCTATCAAAATAGATGTCTTTGGCTTTCATTTCGTCAGATTCGTCGGGTCTTGACGTGATCGTGACGATTGAACCTCTCAGTATTTTTCCTTTGATAAGCTTAGCACACAGTGCCGCTACTGGTATTTTCTCTTTGGCGTTATTTGGGTACTTTTCATCCGAATTACTAGTGATGTACTCTCGTTGTGAACACTCGTCATACCCGTCGATGATAATCAAAACTTCTTCGGAATGATGAAGAATGTACTCAAATATAGAGTCGTCGATATTTGAGCGGTCATCTAGCACTGAAGATCGGTTTAAGATATCCTTCAAGGTAACAGGGTCGTCCCCAAGTAGATTAAGCTGACGGAAGGTGAGCAAGTATGCGAACTTTAAATCAGGTACTTCTGCATTTGCTCTGGATCGAAACAATTTGTTGTCAGCCCAATCTTTGATCAGCTTTTGACAAAACAGAGTTTTACCGATGCCTGCCTTTCCAGTGACAAGAACAGATTCTGGATGTTTCCCATTGGTTGGGATGAAAATTTCTTGAGAGCTTTTAATTTGCTTTCCACTGATTTGACCGTACTGGCGAAGGCGTTCTTTTCTTTTCAAATCAAGATCTTCGACTGGTTTTCTTCCATGTTGCATGAGAATGTTGGTGAATATGTGATCTGTTCTCACATTGGACATGGTCGGTGATGCCTGAGCGAGGTACTCGGTTTGGCTTTTTATTGATTCTTTCAACGCATCAGAGTATTCTGCTACAGCTGTAAAGAAAATCATTACCTGCATTTATTTTCATAAACCCTTCATGTATTTACTTTTCCAATGCTCGACGAAAAGTCATTGAAATGCCTGACTTGTAACGCGATTGGTTATCACGCTAGCTGAGTTTTGCTTTAATTAGGCTTTCCAAAAAGTGCAAGTTAATCTTGAATCCGTTCGCAATTAATTGACATCAAATTCTGACCGAGCACTTAGAAAAGCGTAGCAAGAGGTTGGTGTAAAGGTTAAACTATTTCATTTTTAATAAGATGCATGCAAACATTTCAGAACGCTTATTGGCTGAGAACACGTCAATTAATCCCAAAGAGTGCGCAAAGTTGAGATTGAGGGCAAAAGGTTGAAAATTATTGTAGAAAGATGAAAATAATTTGATTGCCAAGAGAGTCACGAAAGCGTAACTAAAAACAAAATGGCGGAGAGGTTAGAAGAAGGTAACAACCTTTTAAATTCAGAGTTTTATGGAGAATGCCAAAAATAAAAAATACAAAACAAAGCACAAACAACTGGCCAAAAGTCTGAAAGTTTTGGGCGTTGGAAAATATGAATCGGGGACGCTGAACAAACTTCTCGAGGAATTTTACGCATCAGTTCGTAAGAAAGACGAGGAAGATAACGAGCGTGATATCTTTCGTGTTCTGATTATTGCTGTCGACCGATACCTAATTGACAAAGAGTATAAAAACCCGATTGTTCGTGACGGTGAATTTAAAAGCTCGAACCAAATTCTTGGGAAAACCTCGACTACTCCAGCACAAGGCAAGGGGAAGCGGCCGAACCAGTGAGCCATGACACGAAAAAAAAATAACTAGAAAGGAAAACAGAGCCATATTTTGGTGGTACATTATTAACAAGTAATGGCATGATTTTTCTGGTGCAATTCGGGATAAATCAGCATTCGTTAATTTTTCAATAACTACAAATTGTACTCGCAATTTCAAATATTTACTCGTGCTGTTTTATCGTAAATTGTACTCGAAATCATGTGATTACCAACACTAACCGACCCTTTTCGGGAGCGGATCCAGGAATTTGTGGTACGGGAGAAACTAACTTTGACTCAGAAAACACATGGTTTTTGTTTTTACGGCTGGAGATTAAGAATGGCCTAAGTACACTTAGGGGAGAGAAAGCGTCCTGTCATCTCCAGCTCATTAAGAATTTTAGTTTTTTTCCATCTCTTTCTTACCCAACCAGGTAAATACTGTAAGACTTAACTGCAGTTTTTTGGTGCAAATCACCTTCGTAGTGAATCTGTTTCAACTATCAATTCTATTTACTTCCCGCATGAGGACCAAAAAAAATAAAATTTTACTTGCTCATCAACCAAAAAAAGCATGGAAAAGACAACACCTGGTCTTTTTCCAATTTTGGGTCCAAGAGGAAGGGGTCAGTTCCAGTGGAAGATATTTCTCCGAGTTGGAGCTATTTTTAAAGGTGGGCATTTTCTAATACTGAAATGAACTGATTGCTAAATTGCTTATTTCCCTCTGATGAGAAGCCCTTTAATCTTCTTCTTTTCTCAAGAAAGATCAAAAGGCCGTGTACAGATTTTACCGTTAATACACAATACCTTTGTCTCCTGCTTTAAAATTTTTTGGAGGATTAGCGATTGCTTCCTTTAATAGCTCTGTCATTTCATCCAATCTTTCTTTGATGCTGACTTCATCTACTACCCACTGTTTAAGAAGCTCTTTAAAGTGTTCTTCGAAATCAGGGTCCATGCATTCCTTTTTCAGATCATCGATAGCAC